GGTGCAGAAGATTAATGATAACRTTTTATTAAAAGTCACCCCGAGCTGGGATCTGCATTAGAAAAAGAGAGATTTGAGTTAAAGGGGGAAAGCCACACTGGTGTTCATGGGTGACAGGCAGGGGTGAATGCCCTGCTGGGGTGGATGGCCACTGTGCAGTCCTTGTTGKTGGCCAAGCCCAGTGCTCAGCGGGGTCAGAGGAGCTGATGCTGGGTGTGGACAGTTTGTAGACAGTTTTGGAAGCAATATTGAAATCAGTGTTTGCTGCTTGACCTGGCTGGAGTTGTCGGGCTGGAGGGAGCTGATRGGAGCAGCATTTTGCACTCTGGTAACATTTTCCCCAATTCCTCTCTGTCCCTCAGGCACATCTCGCTGACGCTCCCTGCCAGCTTTCGGGGGAAGAGYCACAGCAGCCGCCTGGACCTGGAGCACCAGCACTCCAACCTGTATGCCATCTCAGGTGAGCTGCTGTGCCACAGCCCCTCTGCTCCTGTGCCATCAGAAATGTAACCAAGTACAGCAAATATTGCAAACAGCCCCTGCATGGTGCCCACAAAACAACCCTCAGCTTTTCATCAGTGCTGTTTAACAGCTGAGAGCAGCTGAGGGCAGAGACCCCAGGAAATGGCCACAACACTTGTTGTCAGCAGCATTACTGACCCCCAGAGAGAGATTGCTGCTGCCTCCCAAGGGGCTGGGTGAGAGCTCTGACACTAACATGTACTTTGCTCCTGGTTTTATTCATGCTCTTCACAGGTGAGTCACRAGAAACATCTTTGCTGGTTTTAGAGGAGGCTTAGTCCTGCCCAGCAGGATGAGTTTCAAACACAGTGGTCTTTGCTACCCTCACCATAGATATTAAAAACAGATGAGACCTTTACTCCTTCTCATTTCTATATTACCTGAACTGGCTGTGCATATGCCTGTTTCCCAGAGTTAGGGAAAATTTGGAGTTAGGTATTAGAAAATGGGGGTTCTGCACTGATTTGTGGGAACCATGTGCWTGCATGTGCACACTTGGTCTCTCTAGCTGCAGCTTTCACTCTGTTCATCATTCCAAASCAGTGTAAAAGTGCTAGAGCCAGTGATAATTTCCAGATGTTAAAATGGGAAAAACCTGCCAATGGGTGTTTTAGCCAGTTTTTAACTAGTACTAATCTGCAGAGAGTTGTTTATTGAAATGGAGAAGGGAGAATCAAGGCTGCTGCTTGCCCCATGCAGGTAGAGACACCTGGTACTGTCCTCAAAACTGCATGTGTATAGTCAGGGAAGAGAAAATGGCAAAAATGTACCATTCACAGGTTCTTGCTATTAATGCTGAATGACACTTGTAACATGGGAATATGGCATTAATTTGTGTACCATAATCAAAGGGTTATTTGAAAGGTAATCTCTGCCTGAAACAGCAACTTCAGGTTCCTAAAGAGGTAGAATATAACAATTGCATAATCCTTGTCAGTTCTCGTTTTTCTTGTTACTCTCCTGCCCTAATAGATTTGGAAATGTAAGGGAAGGTGTGTTCCTGTGTTTGCATGAGACAGTTCTGTGTGGGGATGGAAGTTGTGCTTTTCCTCCTGGGAAAGCACCAAATGCAGCGACTGCAGCAGCTCTGGGTGGGTGTTCCTAGGCCTGACCTTAGGATGTGCTGGTCTTGGTCTGTGCTTATGGTGCAGCCTGAGGAGGTGCTGGCTTTGCAGAGAGCCTGARCACTTTACCAGATCCTTTCAGGCCAAGCACAAAACAAGGCCTGTGGAACTGCACGGGACATTAGTTCTTCATGTTTGCTTGAGCATAAGAATATAACTCTTATTTTTCCTCCAATTGCACATTGTCCTCCAGAAACACCGTTATATGAGTTGTGCATGTGTTGTAATGGCTATTACAGCTGTGAGCTCTTTCCAAAGAAAGGCTTTTGTCATGTGGCACATCCTGTGCACTGACAGCATCTTCACACACAGCTCCTGACCACGGCTGCCTTGTCAGCAGCTGCACTGAGGTGCYGTGGCAATTCCATTTGTGTGTTTAAACCTTGCTGAGCTGGCTTAGCCCCCAGACAGGCTCTGGGAGCCTTTCCCGAGTTTCCTGTTCCGTCGGGGTCATGTGCAGCCTGTCTGGGCTCTCTGCAGTGCTCGCTGCACTCCATGGCAGTGGAAACACAAAAGCACACAGAATTATCTGATTAAAACAAGTTTCATTTAACAAATTATATTAAGAATACAGACTGAGTTATCACACAATGAAACTTCCCTTTGTAAAATACAGGAGGGTCATCTAAAATAAATATAAAACATAGTAACATTCATAAGATTAATGCACAGTAAAATCACCTTCAGTAACCCAACCATCTTAGAAAACCACTTTGCCATTATGAACAGTCTCTTCTCGTGCAGTKTTGGTATGGCCTCACTCTGTGCCAGGCACAGGAGGAGCTACTTGGGAAGGGAGGGTTGTAATGGGGGTACAGTGAAGAGCTGCACCAGGGTCTCTCTTTGCTCTCTGTAGACATCCAAGATTTTCTCAGTATTTRATGAAAACAACACTTCCAGCTGTGGTTCGGTATGTTTGTGGAAGATTAAATGAATTTTGGCTGTTGATCCTGCTCTGTATTGCAAATACATTTTGGCAGAATGACCRTATCCTCACTGGAGCTGCCCGTTAGCCCTTGGGCTGTGTGATGCAGTTGTTGTTTGCACAAAACTGGAATCAAGAGAAAGATGGTCCTGAAAGCAGCACTTACAATTTTTAACCAGTCTTTTGTCATTGGCCACGACACATTGGGTGACCAGAAAGTGAAGGAGCCTTCTCTTGGCACATGAAGGAGTCAGTCAGTCCCTGCAGG